CCTGAGCTGAAGTTAGATGCTTAACCTACTGAGCCACACCCCAACAACAAACATTTCTAATGAGTTAAATAATTTATGATTAAACAAACTAGGGTACTTTACAAAGAAAATTATTCATCCAGTCAAAGGACATGGAATATTTAACATTGTGGGAAAATGCTATTGACATAAGTGGGGAAAACAAAACCCCACAATGTGTTCTCAGTTTTATAAATATAAAAATCAAATTACAAGTGATACATAAAAACGCATTAAGTTTTTGAGGAAAACCAAAGTGAGTGGAAATTAGATGTGATTAAAATTTTTTTTAGTGGCTCAGTCTGTTGAGCATCTGACACTTAATTTTGGCTCAGGTCATGATCCCAGAGTCGCAGGATGGAGCCCTGTGTTGAGCTCCAGCAGAGCCTGCTTAGGATTCTCTCTCCTACTTCCCCTCTTCTTAGCTTGCGTGCACGTGCGTGCATTCTCTCTCACGTTTTTTTTTTTTTTAAGTTAAAAAATTTTTTTAAGGTTTTTGGAGTGTTTGGGTGGCTTTAATATTTAAATAAATAAATAAATAAAAAGAAGAGGGTATGCAATTAGTATATAAATCCCTGGCATTCTAATATATAGTACAGAGATTAAGGCCAGCAAAACTGTATTATAAACATTAAATTTGATAAGGTACTAGATCTTGTTCTCATCTCTAGAAGAAATGATAATCATTAGGTGACAGTGATGTTTATTAATGCTGCAGTATAAATGTATCACATCAGTATACTGTATCTCTTAAACTTATGCAATGTTGTATATAAATTATATCTCAATAAAATAAGACCAAAAAATAATAGGAAGGTAACAGTCAAACCCAAAATTTCACTGTTCTTAATGTAATTCCTGGAAATTTTGGTGGGAGAAGGTGATAAAGTTCAGAGACTGCAGGAGCTGAAAAAGTGCTTTGGGGGCTTTGGCATGACCACCCCATCACTGATGGACTATTTGAGCCCTCCCCCACCTTTTTTCCCCCAGCTATGGCATAATGGTCTGTGGGATAATGGCCTGTGCATGATTTCTTCGTGTAAAAATGATAACCTGAAAGAAGCTCTTACATGACTGTCATTAGACAACTGCCTAGAGTTAATATCAGAAAGTTCTTGAAACTTCTGAATGCAGTGTGTTTGGGAATTTCCTCAGATACCTAGCTGTCTAACTAAAAGGAAAAACTGTTTATCTAGATGTATATACAGTATTTTCCTCTGTGTACCCTTCAGTTTAGGATCACATACTACACTTAATTATCAGCTTGCTTTGTGCTTCTTTTGTCTGGGAAAGTTCCTCTGCTTTTGCTTTTCATAGCATTGACGTTTTTGGAGAATAGGGATCAGTTTTTATTTTATAATGTCTTTTAATTGGAGTTTCTCTGGTGTCCTCATGATCACAGTTGGGGTTGTTTTTGGTTGGGTTTGTTTGTTTTGTTTTGTTTGTTTTTTGGCTGTTACTGTGTAAGTGATTTATCCTCCTCAGGGTGTCTCTTGGAGGCCCAAACACCTGTTTACCCCTTATTGGTGATGTTAACCTTGATCATTTGGATGAAGTGTACTGTGGTCTCTCCACTGTATGTTCTTTTTTTCTTTTCCAACTAATGGAATTTTGTAGGGGGGACTCTTTAAGTATAAATACCTTGTGAGTATTTGATTTTTCATCACCACCTCCACCAACCCCCATTTAGCATTCAGTGAAGCTTCTTGCTTGAATCTCTAGTGGTTGCATAAAGAATGGTTTTTGTTTTTAACTCCATCATTCTTTCTGTATTTACTAGGTCTACTGTATGGAAGAGCCTTTCATTATCCTCCATTTATTCATTTATTATCAGTATATGATCAACTATAATTATTTTAATTGAATTATCCCAAATTTGTCCAGAAGCTGGCTCCTTTTGTGTACTTTTGGTGTGTGCTGACCATTTTGAGAGAGCACATATTTAACCTTTCAGAACAAAGTATATGTTCCAGGTTCATCTTTTACCTTCCCTAACCCAGCTCTGGAAGTCTTAGTTTAACTTTTCTCCAAAAGGGGACCTGTCTCCATAGGCTGTGTGCTTAATAATACCAGAAGCTTCCATTCATTGCTTGCTTATTCTGTGCCAGATGCTATGCTAGTGTTTCTATGTACAATAGTTCTTTCACAGGACTTCTGAGAAGCTTCCAGATGCCCAGGGTAACCAAGCATGGAAGAAGCAGATCCAAACCTGTATCTCTGAGTCCCAGATCGCTGATCTTAACCACAGTCTCTGAAGATGAGGTATAGATAGAGTAAACCTGCTAGATCCTGTCACCTGTAGTAGTGTCAGATTTTAGGCAGGAAGATGAGTAGAAGGGATCAGAGCAAGAGAGGGAGGTTTTGCTATTAATAGTAGGGGCGGGAGAGTGGGGGACGGGACCAGACACTTAAGTGCTTGCTATGTGTCCCACAACAGGGATATTGTGATTGTTGACCCTGAGGCACCCCAGCATTGCTTTCCTCTTGGCCCTGAATGTGTGGGGAAATTCCCACAATTTTGACTGTACTAAGATCTCTCTTCCAAGATGTCATTTCAGTTGGGCACCTGGTTTATGTTACCTGTGTTTCATTGTGGTTCTTTGGGAAAGTTGAGTAAAGTGGGTGTTTCTGCCTGACTTTCACCGAAACCAAGTTTACTCAAGTTGTTGCCTTTGGTTTGTGATGCCAACATAGCTTGGGCTTATTAACAAGCTGTATGGGGGTGGGGGGACTGTGGGGCTTTATAACAGTGCAGCCATTTCTCAGAGGGTGCTGCAGAGAGTGCATGAGAGCAGTAGCCAACCTAGTCATTATTAGGGTTGTGATAGGAGTCAGTTGATGCTAGATGCTTTCCTGCTTCCGCCAGAACATATCCAGTTATGAAAACAGTTTGTCTTGTTGGTCTTATAGAACACCCTCTGTCAGGGATTTTCAAAGTGGGTTGGGGAGGTTTTGACAAAGGAATGGGTGAGATGTACTAGGATGTGCTGGAGAAGTAGCTTAGCAGTAGCACAGCCTCCAAAATAGATGTCTTAACTGTCATTTAGCTTCATTATTTACTGAGCTTCTAATATATGTGAGGTAATAGGAACATTATTTAGACATATTTATCTCATTTAATTTGCTCCTTAATTATTCAAGGAAATAAGTGGTGATCTGATGTATGGTTGAAGAGTGAGTTTAGAGTTAGGTAGACCTGAATCAAGTCCTGTCCAGGCCGCACGGGCAGTGTGACCTTAGGCAGGAGAATAGTGTGGGTAGAGGTGTGGCCTCTGGGGACAGACCTTGCCTCTGGTGGCTGTGCTGCTTCATTTCTCTAATGGGGATGGCGATGGTATCTGTCTTGTAGAATTGTGTGATTTATGAGTTATGATGTGAAATTGCTTGGCATGCTAATAAGGGCTCAGTAAAACTTGGCTTTGTTGTGTTGTATTTCCCTCCCTTTGTGGATGAGGGAACTGAGCCTAGAGACTTACCCAGAGTAACAGTTCTAACAAACGGCAGGGCCAGACCTCAAATACAGGTTCTCAGTCCTATTCTGTCTGCTCCAGAGTCATGGGCGTGTCTGGTATTTGTGAGCCTGGGTCAGACCCAGGTTTCTCAAGTAGTTTAACCATCCCTGGTGTTCATTTGTGACATTAGAGGTTATGGTATTCTTCGAGGCAAGAACATGATGGCAAGGATTTAGAAATTTCTGCAGTGTGGAAATTTGTTAAGAAACTGGGGATTTTGAGCCTGGAACAGAAGATTTATGGGAAGCTTGAGACTGGTTACCCCTGAGGATGGAACAGGGACAGTGGGTTGAGGCTCTGTAAACCGTTCCACTGCACAGATTTAGCAGGATGGCCCTAGAGTGTTAGTCTTTTTGCACACAGGATGTTCATGCAGAGGTGAGGTGGCCGGTTAGCACTTGAAGAAAAGGAGTGTAAAGGTGGCAGCAAACCAGTCAAATCTGGGGAGACAGCACCTCTCTTTATGCTGTGGGCTTTGATCTATTCTAAATAAATTATAATGCTCTTCTATCCAAAAGATCCAAAATAAGCCTACTTTTTGTGGGAAACATGGTACCTGTTTGGCACTAGCAGGTTTGTGGCACCCTTTTAAGCCAAGCCAGCCTGCTGTGTGGTCTCCCCTCTAGGCTCCCTGTCTCTCCATCTCACAACTTATCCATGTTGGCATATTGATCTTTCCAAAGTGCTACCCTGACCCTGTCTACTCTCCCTCTTTCCACAAGCTTGAGTGACCCCCCCCCCCCATAGCCTCCATGGTGATGACTCTGTCCCCTGTCGCATTGTTCTGCTCCAGTCCTTGTATCCTGTAGGTTCATGCCCAAGTGTCATGTCTCTCAGTGCAGGCTCTTGCCTCACACCTCTCCCATTATTCAGGGCCCTTGGTACAGGCATCACCACCTATACTTCTCCATTCCTGGTCACTGAAGCTAGAGAGGCTCTGTTTTGCCTTCTCGACTATGCAATCTGGGGAGATAGGAGCTGCTTCTGGTGCACACTTGTGGCCTTCATGGTCCCTTTGCAGTCTGTGTGCCGGGCAGATGCAAGTGAGGACACAGTTTGGACAAGCAGTTCAGAGCTGTTTAAGTTAGAGTTTTTCACCATTGAGAGCCCTTCGCATGCTGGCAGGGGAGGCAGTATAGCAGTTAGGGCTCTGGAGTCAGGCCAGCTGGGTTTGAGTCTGGATCCTTTCATTCTGGCTGTTGGACTTTAGACAAATGCTTTAGTTTTGTTTTTGGGGTTTTTTGGTTGGTTGGTTGTTTTTTTTTATCTGTAAAAATGGGAATGCTCATACTTATCCTGGAGGTGCTGTGAGGATCATATATGTGAAGTACTATACTTTGCACAGTCCCTCGCACACATCATAGGTCCTCCTATTCCCTTAGCTTTGCCTGGCTCCTTCATTACATGATGTTAATTTGTGCAATTCTGGACTTTCCCCACCACCATCCAAGACTCCCCCTCTTTGTGTGCCCTTGTTCTCTGCTCATGCTGTTGGCTCTTACTGATGAGCTGGTGATTCCTTTCCAGATGTCCAACATCACAGTCACATACAGAGACGGCCGAGTGGCACAGCTGGAGCAGGTGTACATCCGTGGCAGCAAGATCCGCTTTCTCATTTTGCCTGACATGCTGAAAAATGCGCCCATGTTAAAGAGCATGAAAAATAAAAACCAAGGCTCAGGGGCTGGCCGGGGAAAAGCTGCTATTCTGAAGGCCCAAGGTATGTGCTCCTCATGCACTGGTTTTAACATGTGTGTTTGTCATGTATCTTTTAGGAAAGGGCCCTGTTAATTGCCTGGGCATGGGGATGGACTTTGACTTCAGTCATCTCTACATCCACTGTCACCCTGAAGGCTTGGGGACCCCACCTGTGAAGGTCTGGGGGCCTTGTCTCGCCTTCTCTCTCTTGCTTCACCTGATTAGATTCTTAGGGCTTATTCAAAATCCAAAGTGCCTCCTTAGAGAAAAGGAGACTCCTGTCTTCAGGAATAGATAAGTCTACAATGAATTCTGGGAGGCCCTTTGTTTCCAGAAATTCTGTCCGGAGGCTTACTCTTATCTGGTTTGCTGAGCAGGGTCCCTGTAGTTTGGATTAGCTGACTCCTGAAGCAGTGGGGCAACAGTTCCCAGAGAGGCTGGGGCCCTTTGTTGACCCCCAGTGTACGTGGGGGGAAAGGCTGATGATAGGGATCCATTTTCATGCAAGAAATCAGTTTTAAGCCATCTTTACTGAACTTCTGTTTTCAAATATTCTTGTATTTGAAAATAAATCCTTCCTTCTAGCATATTCCCAGTGACCTTCTTTAGTCTAGCCTTTCTTTTGGGTTAGCCTAGTCCAGAGGTTTTATATTTGGGTCCATGAAAAGCTCTGCCATGATGATTATTTAGAAAGCAACTGTATTCATTACAAACTGTATGTTGGTAGAAAATTTTATAGTGCAGGAAGTCACTGGATTCTCCATCAGTATCTTTTGTTGCTGTGCATATTTTATATATATGAGGTGGCTTTTGAGTTTAAAGATGCAAGAGTAATCCTTTAAAATGTGCTTCAGAAAAGCCAATCAGAGAATCTCCTTTCCCTTCCTAGACAAGTGGCATTTGTGGGCAGGTAGAAACTGGAAGCTCTGGACCTTTGGGTGAAGGAATGGTTTTCAGGAATACTAGCTTTCTTACTAGAACTGCTGTTCTCTCTGCTTTCTCAGGGAAGGGCTGCCCTCATTGTCACTGTGTAACTGCACCATCTTCTCTAACAAAAGGTGTAATCCAGTAGTTGTACACTAGAAGGCACATGGCAGTGAGTTTGCCCAGGCCCATTGGCTTCTGCCTGGGTCATCTGTGCTTCTGAGAATCTCTTGCTATGGTCCTATCAGCATGTCATTGGGTTCTTGGGTGACTTCCCTCCCTCTTAACAGGCACTATAAGTGGGAAAAGGGGTGAGGCTCCAATTAGTAGCCATCAGAATATTTTCACTTGTCTTTCAAAGCTCCTGGTTCTCTCCTAGAACTCTTGGGGTCATAGACAACAGCAGCTTGTTATGCCCTTTGTATGGGGTGTGGTTTTGTTTTGCTATTATGAAACATTTCATATTGTAGGATAGCTCAAAAAAATAATAAACCTGTCACCCAGATTTAACAGGTGTTTAGCATTTGTTTCAGAATTTTAAGTGTGAATTAAATTCATCTGTCATGGTTTATTACCTCACCATAGTCCAGCTCTGGGAATTCATCTTTTCTTTGGTTCTCACACTTGCTCCCCTAACCACCTTAGCTTTCAACACCCTGACTCCTGGCCTCTTGTTGAGAGCAGGGCTGGATTGGAAGGCAGGAGTTTGGTGCCCACTCCAGCTCTGATGCTGGGCGTCAGTCCCCATGCGATGGGGAAATGGCATGGGGTGGGCATGGTGTTGGGCCAGATGGCCTTCCAGACCCTTTCCTGTGCCAGTGTCCAAGAGCTCTGGCTGTTGCGTGGCATGAGCACTCACTGACTTCACTGACCTGACCTTTTCCTTTCTTTCCTTTCAGTGGCTGCAAGAGGAAGAGGACGTGGAATGGGGCGTGGAAACATCTTCCAGAAGCGAAGATAAATTTATCTGTTGAACAGAACTTTGCCATTATTTTTTCCTTTAGATTGTCTGGATTCAAGGGGCTATATGCTTATGTATATGTTCTAGGTTTTCTTTTGACCTCTTTAGATCAGGGGAAATGTTAAACTAAATAAATATGGCGGTGATTGTTTTTGTTTTTGTTTTTATCTTTTTGAAAAAAATGAGGACTGTGTGTTCATTTTGGAGTTTGTGTTCTGTTTGCTTTGGCAGCAAATTAAACTTTGACACCCTGGAAGGTGTCCTGGGAGAATGCCAGTACTTTGAAATCACATAGTTATTGATAAGAGTTTAAGCTGCTGTTCAGGCCAGTTGCTGGTTAAACCCTTGGAAAAACTCTAAGAGCGCACTGCCAGTCTTGGTCTCTAGACACAGTCACTTGCACCTGCTTTGTTCAGGTAACCTTTGTGGAGATGTCATCAGCTCAGCTTGAGCAGCAGTGCGTGGGTGGTCCTGGCCAACGGAAAGGCCCACCATTCTGATCTTTGCAGCCTAGAAGCCCTAGTGGCTCAGCATTTGGCAAATGTAAGCTAACATTAAAAGATAATTCAGGGAGTCCTAGTGGCCAACATCTGTGACTCCTGCACTGGCGTCATAACCAGTTTTGTGGTGGTTTGCAGGGACAGATTCTTATGCATTTATCAAAGCATCTCAGCATACATTAGCACAGCCATAGTTTTTAATGTAGCAAAGGTAGAAAGGACAAGGTATGCAAAGCAGATAGCTGACACAAACAAATTGGAAAAGCAGCCTTGAAATCATATGCTGAAAAGAGGTCTTGTCAGGGGTTCAGTATAGGATGAGCTTCAGCAGAAGCTTGTTAAGAGAAAAGGGATTGATTGCCCTTAGAACATTGCTCATGGGACACACTGTTCGAGTAATAGAAGAAGAAAATCCAGCATAACTGTTGACCAGGCATTGAGTAGGGATTTTCTTATTTTTTTCTTAAGTTTATTTTGTGAGAGAGAGAGAGGTGGGGAGAATCTCAAGCAGGCTTCACACTGTCAGCACAGAGCCCGATGCAGGGCTCAATCCCATGAATCATGAGATCACAGCCGGAGTTGAGAGTTGTCACTTAACCGAGTCAGCCAGGCACCCCTCAAGTAGGGATTTTCTAACCAGCTTTGTCTTATAATCATGGCACCACCATAATGTAACAGACCTTGCATTATTCCTATAATAAAAGAACTCCTCAGGAACAAGATTCAGAGTGCTGATCAGCTACTGCAGGCACATAAAATTTCAGAGACCCATCCCCCAGAGCAGCCCCTGTGCCTCTTGCTCTAGCACCCCTAGCTCCTCTGACACATGTGGATGAAGTATGCTGGTGGTCCTGTAGGCTGTGCTGCCTCAGCGGAGGGGCTCCTGGACTAGGGCCCATCTCAAATGAACTTCATGTGAATGGAGTTTAGAGTTCATTTGTTTTAGATTTGGCCAAAAGTTAATGTATTGTTTCTGGTAAGGAAAGAAACTATGCTGAGTTGCATATGGATGGAGCAGAATTTCTTGAAGTGTTTAGAAGTGGAATTCTAGACCTTGTGATATCCAGTACCCTGCATAAATTCCCTCTTCCCTGCTCATGACCTTGATTTACAGACATTGATTTATTGGCTTATTATTAATGAACCCTACTGAATTATTAATATAGTTAGAACTAGTTTTTTTTAACATTTCAAATTTTATTATTTTAGTTGGCATAACAACTGATTTTTATGGAGGTTTTTTATTGGTCAAATCAATCTTAATTGTAAAATAATTTCTACTGAATATTAACAGTATGCATGCTAAATGTAAAGATTACTTATTTTTATTTTTTAAATTATTTTTTGTTATAGTTTATTGTCAAGTTGGCTTCCATAGAACACCCAGTGAGAGCTGTAGTTCTCAATATCAGCTTAGTGGTCTTGTTAGGAAGATTCTAAGACCCCACCCTTGGAGATGGCTATTCAGTAGTCTGGAGTAGGACCTAGGAATCTGCATATTAAGCAATGCTTTTGCCAGATAAATCTGATTTGGTATATCAGACCACATTTTGATATCCTGGACTAGAATTGTCATTTTAGTACGGTCACTACTTAAATTATACGTTTATAGTCAACAAGACTTTAGTAACACATTATACTTAATTATCACTAATGGATTGCATCCTGGATCTGAAAAGCTGAGTAGATGTGGGTCACCTTGGGGACCGTGCAGAAATACCAATGTTGCATGGTTCCACACAGTAAAAACTACTTGAAACCCTGCCTAGATCCTGAAAAATGAAGGGAGTTCTCAATTACAGGGTTTTTTTGTTTTTGAGACTGAGAATCCCAAGCAGGCTCTGCACTGACAGTGTGGGGTTTAAACCCATGTACTGCAAGATCATGACCTGAGCCAAAATCTAGTCAGACACTTAACCAACTGAGCTACCCAGGTGCCCCTATGGTTTTGTTTTCACAATGAATTTGAAAAACTACATTAACAAAGTAAGTTTGTACAACAGCTTTATATCCTGCATTTTAGGAAGAATATCAGTTATTTTGCATTGAAAGAGCAAATAGTTGTGTGAGGTTTATTATGAAAAACAGCAGCCCTCCCATCCTATCTGCTCTTCCCCATTTTCTCTGCTTCACAGTATCCCCTTTCAAATGTTGGCTGCTAAGTTTGTATTTACCTACATGTCTCAAATATAAATGTGTGCTTGGCTATTTACTGATGTTTCTATTTTAGGCATTTTGACTTCAATCTCCCTCTTGCCCACCATGCATGTACTCCCCATCATCCATCTCCCTGACATAATTCTAGTTAGATGATATTAAGTGTTTACCTTATGATGGAGTATTTAAATCATAGCTGAGCTACGTAGTGAACTAGGTTACCTTCCTGCAGAACTTTCTTTTCCCTAGAATTAATAATTCTCTTGCATTTTTATTAATTATTAGCTTTTATTTTCTGTCCACTTGTTACTAGTTCAACCCCAGAGTTCTCTAAGGGCATTAACATCTTCTATTTTGTCAATTTCTTGACCTGGTCCAATCTGAACTGGTTCCCCCTTGTGCCTAACATAATTGCTCTCATTGTGGGCTCTCCTGTGAATCTCTCGTTTTCTGTGTAACTTCATCCCCTTGGTTTAGTACCTCATTCTGATGAGTGCTTGAAGTAAAAGGGGTGCATGGGAAGTAGTTTGAGAGACTTGCATATCTGAAAGTGTCTTGTTCTCTCATACTTGATCAAGTATGAAATTTTAGTTTGGAATATATTTTCCTTTAGAATTTTGAAGGCATTGTTACTTTTCACCTAACATCTAGTATTGCTGTTAGAGGAACCCGAAGCCATTCTGAGTTCTGATTCTTTGTATATGACTCTTTTTCTCCCTTCTGTCACCAGTGTTTTGAAATTTCACAGTGACAGGCCTTGGTGGAGGTCTGTTTTCATGCACTTGGTAGGCTGTTGTCAAACCCTTTCAGAATGGACTCTTGTCCTTCACTCCTGGTGCTCCTGGGAAACTTTCTTAAATTATTTGTTAATGATTTCTTATTTTTCTGGTTTTCCTTTCTGGAATTCATGTTCTTCAGATATTAGATCTGGACCTATCTCTGTTTTTCTTTTTCTTTCTGTCCTTACCACCTCCTATTTTCTTGTCTTTTGATCTTTATGGAAGATTTCCAAGTTGATTCTCTGTGTTCCTTTTTTTTTTTTTTAAATTAGGACCTCATTCCATGGTTGCAGTATCTTATATCTGAGGACTTTAATATGCTTTGTTGAAGCTTTCATCTCCCTGCATGATGTTTTCTTTCTCCCTTTTCTTTATTTTAAAATGTTTTATCTTTTGAGAAAGTGCAAGCAGGGGAGTGGCATAGAGGGGGGACAGGATTCGGAGCAGGCTCCACACTGATAGGCTGACAGCAGCAAGTCAGATGTGGGGCTCAAACCCACAAACCGCAAGATTGTGACCTCAGCCAGTCAGACGCTCAACCGACTGAGCCATCCAGGTGCCCCTTGCTTTTTAAATTTTTGGTGTCCTTTTTGTTTTGCTTTTAGTCTTTCGTGTTAATGGACTTTCCTTAGCTACCTGGCAATATTGGTAGTCTGCTTATATTTACAGGTGGGATAGTAAGAAGATGTGTTGTGAGGTGAACTGATTGAACTTTTGGTAAATCCCCAGCCACTGTCCATATCTGTAGGGCTTTCCTCTTGGGCTCTGGTCAGGTTCCCTGGAGGAAACTTCCAGGCTCTTGTCAGGAGGCTTTACCTTGAACTGCTGACCTTGTGGGGGTGCAGTGAAGGAAGAGGGCTGGGGAGCTTCAGCACTCTAATATGCCCAGATTCACTTGTCTTCCAGGTGTCTGGAAAGGTTCCTAGTCCAGAAACTTACACCCTCTAGAGGAAAAACTTCCAACTTTTTGCCAAGCTTGGGGAGGGGCAGTCTCAAGATCACATGACACCTGGATATTTAATTAAGCACATTCTCTCTTTAAAAACATGTATTTTCTTTGAAAATACATTACTCTAAAATGGGGTGGGAGGAAGCTTGGCAAGATGAAGAATATACACAACAAAAAATGATGTCAGATAACTAGACCAAGATTTAAGGGATGGATTCTGGTTCTACCTACCTCCACTACTACTCTCCAAGGCCCTGGTTATCAATGCAAGGGAGGGTTTAGATTCAGTTGATCCCCTGATACTATCTCAGCTTCTGTGTTCACCTGGTGGGTATCCCATAAACTTAATAAATAAGCCTGCACTAAATTTTTTCTGCCTCTGGCCAAATGGATATTAGTGCCTGGATTTAGTCTTGTGCCTAAAAATTAAAACTCAAATATCGAAGGAAAGCAATCCCTGAGAGATGGGAAACAAGATGGGTTTACTGCCTTGTGGGAGTTTCTGAGCACTGGAACAGGGAGGGGGAACTGAAGGGACCCTGGCAAACTACCTGGGTTGGGGAGTCTGAGCTAAGAGTTCAGAGACGTCAAGGCAACTCATGTTCATGGGACAGAATACCAGAGAGAAGAAAGCTGTACAGAGAACCCGGGAGATCTGTAGAAGGGCCCTTTAGAGTACTCAGAATACTGATCATGAGAATATAAGGAAAGTAACCAAGACCAGGGAAAGAACCATCAAAAAGGATTATAACAGTGCCAGGCATTA